TTAATGTCACACCAACACAGAATAGGCAATATGGCGACTTTCCAGCTTTACTGGAGAAGGAAGTCCCCAGGTGCACCTTTGCACAATATTTTAGGCATAAACGGGCACACAAGTAGAACCACCAATGTTTTGTACGCTAGCTGGATAGCTTTTTCACATAAAGAATCTGAAGACACCAACGCGGCAGTAAGAGTAAATGTTTGTTTGTACAAAGGGATTTAATAAGTTGTGAAAAAAAAACACTACACTTGCAGGATATTGAGTATCTCTATTCACAAATCTACTTCAAAAATACACTATATACAAGATCAATCACATTTCATGTACAGTCTAAAACCTTCAGAGACAACTGTGTGTCTAAAAGTGAATATAAATCATCCAATAATGTGTTACAGCATAATAAAACAAGACATTTCGACAAGAAAAGAAAGTTGCTCCAGTGTTGTCACCGAAAAAATGTAAATCTGTCTACAGAGTACTTAAGATAGTCTACGACAAATAAAGAATTGTGATTTTCTGTATTGAGAGGTTGTTGTGATACAGTTGTAAGACTGGAAGACTCCTAACTTACTTCCTCTCTGGTCATTTAGTTATGAGACAAATGCTTTGAGCAATAAATGTTTGAATTATTACAAAAGCAAGAAATATCCATATTGACTTTTTTCAAAAGTTTTGGGAAAAGAGCTCAGTTCCATCAATTTCGTAAATTTCTTAAAGCATGGAACATGGTAAAACGAGTAACAGACAGTCATAAAATGCAAACAAATCAACACCATTTAGAATAATGAGCATAACAATATGCAAAACTCAAGTTGGCGAATTAACATAAGGGAATGTTTCCCATATGTAAGGACACAAACTGCTCTTGGTGGTGAGCTGGCTTTTCACCGACAGGGTTTGTGTGCCTTTAAATGTTACAGTATTTCACTAAAAATCCACAGAATGGCAATACATGTAAGCAAATAATACTCCTTTACCTTCACCTTTACCTCGGTGAATCTTTCAAGCCACTTCAATAAAAATTAACTTCTAAAGCTATAAATAATTCCTCTACTATATTAAATAGTTTCCTTCAAATGCATATTTCATGGATATATACTGCTTGATGTGAAAATATTTACCAAGATAAGCAGCGAGGGACCCCAACCTTTGAAGCCCAACTGTACTGATACTCTATCTATAAACAAGCATATTTGAACAGATAAAAATACTTCACTTCAAAGAATCTAGTTAATATACAAAGGTTACTTAAGACATTTTTGAATTTATAATAACTGCTCCTAGTTGGCACAGTCTAAACTATCATTAATTCTTATTCTACAGCTACATTTGCAGCTTATGGATTGCTGTGGTTTGATGCAGAGGAAGTTGCGAGCTTGTACCTCAAATGACATACAAAGGGGCACCTCTAAACTGCCATCTACCTTCATCAATAAAGCTGTGAAGTGGCCATGTCTGAATAACAGAAAACCCAGCAAAAAAAAACACAAAACAAGATAACTTGATAGAACAGAGGTTTCTTTTTTATTTGCAAGCACTGCGATTTTCAATATTCCTAAACAAGTAAGCAGGAAAAGATATTGATAGAAACAAATCTTACTTAATACCCCAGTAAATTAGCTGTCTAGACTTACACCAATTACTCCCTTTATCTCTACCTACACTGCAACTTGAATACACCTAATTTACATTACACTAAAAACAGGTAAAATACTAGTTTTCAACTAATTTTACTACATGTCAATCGAGCTATAACTGCAAGCTATTTTTAAAATCATGATAAAGATTGCAAGCTTAAGCTCTAAATATGCTGAAAAAGTTACTAAATCATATTGTTAATAGGTAGAATTGTTACTATATGAATTCCCTGCAGTAAATAGGTAAAGGCTATCATCAGGGTATTTGTAAACAAATCTATAATGTTTTACAAATGTAGAAAATAATATTTATAGAAGAAATTTCTGTGATGATTCCTCTTGCATTATTAGTATCCTGTAAGTTGTACATAGAAGTAAATGATTACGTCCAGCTAACCCGGGGAAATTCACCATTCAAATAACCTGAGCTTTCTACTAGTCAAACAAAAAGCCCAACTTGAATTGGAACCACCCACTAAAAAAAAATCCCCCCCCCCCCCATCATTGAACTCAGGCACTCAGAATAATTGAATAATGTAAACATGCTCAATTTTTTCATTGACTCTCCTAACAAATGCTACTTATGTTTGTTCTTGCCTATTTAACAAGCCTGAGACATAGACACAAATAAGTATTCTATACACTTCTTTACTTAACAATACCACAAAGATTAGGAAAAGAGTAAAACAAACACACATTTTCAGACAGGATATTTGATCATTCTCCCAAAAACAAAGAGAACCCTATATTTTTCCTCAAAATCAAGAAATCAACTCATCAAATACATTATTTTCACACATCAATTTGTTAAGAGGACAATGCTTTGTTCAGCATCAATATACAGTTGCTCAATTCTAATCTGTTTAAAGTTAATTTTCAATTTCGTTTCTTTTTTTTCATTTTCACACACCCTATTAGATTAGAATCACGTGTTAGACCTCCTCTGGTACAACTTCCCACAGTGCCCATTGATAAAATAAATCTTGTATTGAAATCGTCAAGTTTCTGTATTGATCCATACACAACAAAAACATGGTTTTGAATTTGAAATGCACTGTTAATAGTGCAAGCGGCAAGAGCCTATCGTTTCATACATATGACTCATTCATTCATCACTAAGTATAGACGATGCAAACTGAACTGCCTTTTGTTAAACATCATTTACCCGAATAAGAATTTAACAAAGACACATATGCAAATTTTAGTTGTCTATATATATTTTAAGCAATCATATTTCTTCTTTGAACGTAACAGAAAATAAACAAGTTTAACCACGTAAATTTTACTGAACAATTCAAATATTGAGATCAGACTTAAAATAAGACAGTCGTTTGTGCACACCCTATACTTTCATGGACTAGACATGCATAACACACTAAGCAAACAAATCTGTTATATTTTTAAATCCCCCCTCACATCATGTTTGTAATAATGAAAGTTATTGAAGCAGAGGCAAATTTAAATTTAAATTCAATTAATACAATTTTCAAACTGCTGAGTTACCAATGAGGAAAATATAAAATGAGCCGCCATACAGGACTTGCTAAGTTTCACATTCTTAGTTTGTTTTCTCACACAGTCATTATAAGTTACGCAGTCATTATAAGTTACATTACTGACAGTTACTTCGTAATTCTGAATAAATATTTATTTTATCACACAGAAGAAGAGTACTTTGTTGAGGACTATGGGTGAAAATTACTAACAAGAACATTTTTTTTCAGATCTTGATTATAACAATCAATGGAAATCAAATCAAATTATGACAACAATAAAAGACCTTCAACAGCCTACAAGATTAATGCTTTGCTTTTTTCTAGTTTAGCACCAGTATTCATTCACAAAACATGACACACTTCAAATATTTCTTAAGCCTTCTTAAGATTGATTTAAAGTGTTAACTTGATTTTAACAATTTTTCTGACAAGTCTGGAATAAAATTCAAAGAAACTGATGAAGCACTAGCCATTATGATTATGAACAATAAATCATCATTTTTCTGAACTACAGGACTTTAACAATTACTGGTAAATCTTATTCTAATAATGTTAGGTATTTTTTTTACCATAGTGCAATAACTGGTTAACTGCTATTAAATTTAGAAAGATTTATTCTGTTATTGCACTAAGGCTTTATATATTTAAATGAAGCCGGTGATAATGGACATGGACATTAACTTGTACTTTCCATTACCTTCCATAAACAGGGTCTGCAAAATCATGGTATAGCATGAGCCTAGCTCTATGCTCATGGTATGGCATGACATAGCCATGCTCATGGTATAACATGGCCTGGCTATATGCTCATGGTATGGCATGGCCTGGCTCTATGCTCATGGTATAACATGGCCTAGCTCTATGCTCATGGTATGGCATGACCTAGCTCTATGCTCATGGTATAACATGGCCTGGCTCTATGCTCATGGTATAACATGGCCTAGCTCTATGCTCATGGTATGGCATGACCTAGCTCTATGCTCATGGTATAACATGGCCTGGCTCTATGCTCATGGTATGGCATGGCCATGCTCTATGCTCATGGTATGGCATGGCCTGGCTCTATGCTCATGGTATAACATGGCCTAGCTCTATAATCATGGCATGGCATGGCCTGGCTCTATGCTCATGGTATAACATGGCCTAGCTTTATGCTCATGGTATAGCATGGCCTAGCTCTATGCTCATAGTATAGCATGGCCTAGCTCTATGCTCATGGTATAGCATGGCCTAGCTCTATGCTCATGGGTATAGCATGGCCTAGCTCTATGCTAATGGTATAGCATGACCTAGCTCTATGCTGGTGGCCTGGCTCTTTGCTCATGATATAATATGGCCTAGCTCAATGCTCATGGATATAATATGGCCTAGCTCTATGTTCATGGTATAGTATGGCCTAGCTCTATGCTCATGGTATAACATGGCCTAGCTCTATGCTCATGGTATAGCATGACTAGCTCTATGCTGGTGGCCTAGCTCTTTGCTCATGATATAATATGGCCTAGCTCAATGCTCATGGTATAGTATGGCCTAGCTCTATGCTCATGGTATAGACATGGCCTAGCTCTATGCTCATGGTATAGCATGGCCTAGCTCTATGCTCATGGTATAGCATGGCCTAGCTCTATGCTCATCGTATAGCATGGCCTAGCTCTATGCTCATTGTATAGCATGACCTAGCTCTAGCACAGCCTTGCATCAGCACACCATTATTGTGCAAGTTCGCATGTAGGTAAATAGAAAGCCTACAGAAGCTCTCTATCTCAGGTACAAAATAATGCTTTATTACCAGCCTTAAGTAAAGAAAAAAAGTCTATGCTTGGAAAAACAACAACAAAAAGACAAACACCAGCCCCCTTGTACATACCATTCCAGTTGTCTCATATTCTGTAGGCAACATCTTTAATGCTCCTTTTTCAATACTCCAAATGAAAAATCACAACTTTTTAACCCATAATCTAACAAAGTAATAATTCCTATATCCAAATCCTAAGTGATAATGAAATATATTGGAAGTGAAAAACACCAAAACAAATGCTCCTGTCTAATAAACTTCTCTGACATATCCAGGCATCATTTACCCTGAAATATCACATGTTACAAATTTGTTTTTTCTCATCAATCTCATTCCCAATAACACAATGTCACAAATCATTCATAATGTAAATCCATCGTGATAATGAACCTTCCAGATCTGAACTCTATCTCATTTTCAAATTTCAAGTTCAAAAATAACAAATACACAGTAATGATACAACAATCAACACATGTTTGTCCGATAAGTAACTAAAAACCCCTTTCTAATGGTTAATCTTGAATATATCATTAAAATCAATTTCACGGTGAATCACTCGATTTAACTCCATCAAGAGTTTAAAAACCTGGCCATAATCAGGTGTAAAGTTACTTTTCCAATCTCTAAGCCATCAGTTTAAACACACAAGTCACAATATTTTCAAATACAGGTACGCTGTCTTAAACATTTGAATTTCCCTCTGTTGTCAATAGCTGTAGGGCAATTTTCACCTGACACGCGCATACTACCACATTGTCTCCTTAGATGATATCTTTATTTTGTGGTTTTAACTAATCAACTGATAACAATCTTTGAAACTTATGTTATTTTTCATAAAATACCATATGTATTTGATTGATAAGGCATTGTTTTAAAAACGTGCATATATGTTTTAAAGAAATCAATTACAACTTCTCAAAATTTTATAATTGTGTACGATACAGCGTTTACAGTACCTGAATGACCTGTCTTTATTGATTAATGAAAACAAACAAGAGGGGATACAACCTAATGACGGGATAGGATAAACAGGAGATATTTTTATTGTTAAGACTGTGTAATCTTCTTTGCATAATTAACTCCCTTTTATTTCAAAATAAGATTTTCATATTGGGACATACAGCAAAAATGATGTTCAAACTAGCATCATTAAAATTAATCATTAAGTTTTACATAAATAACATCTTTATCAATAAAGATGCTCATAATACTACTGCCAATTCAAGCAAGACCAAATTCAATATTTAAATATTTAATAAATATCATAAATAACCATTAATATAAAACATGCTTTACAAAATTTGCTGAAATAGAAACTAAATATTTTCAAAATTCAATCAGTACAAATTTATATAAGCAATGAAATCCGAAAATAATGTATTTAAATAATTCCACAATTATCAAAGTGTAATAAATTTAAATAAAAAATGAATTAAAGATGCAAATTCTAGATATACAATAAATCAACAATTATGGGACACAGGATATTATGGGTTGTTACATAATCAAAACCTGCGATGGTTAAATCAATTTCAACACTGAATACAAAGAGCACATCACCCCCCTCAGGGGGTTAATTTCTTCAGCATGATTCAAATTGTCCTTGACAGGTTATAAAGTGATAATACCACCTCCCACTTTCACAGTAGCAGATTGTCATCACACATACTTATATATACTGTGATTATCATAACAACATTTATATGTGAGGAAGATAAATTTAATTAGTGTCAATATAAGAAAATAGGTTTCAAATGCTGATTATTTCTCTGTCTTATTTTTTATAGATAAAGCAACAGAGACAACCTTGAAACTGAAAATTATATGAACCACATTGGATAAGTTGAATTAAAAGTCTGTATACAGCAAAAGTTATTGTATCATATTTTTGGAGTTAATACAATATTTCACACACTAAATCAAGAAATCAGATCGGTCGATAAGCCAACTTCTAAATATAGAATATTAATTCTTTATATGTTTAGCTGATCAGTGATGCAGTCATAGATGCTTTTTTCCTGAAGAGATACATAAACTACCTTTTTAAAAAGCAACAGTTAAATTATCAGCATCAGCTGTACTTGTGACCAATCTATTTTGCTTTTCAAGTGAATTTGCCATCTATTTTACAATGAAATAGTATGTGAGCTTACTATTCATAAAAAAGAACAAATAACAAGAACAAAACAAACCCAAACAAGAAAAAAGTAGATGAAAAAACAACAAAGAAAATAAACATTCATCAAATTAAGTAACATCAATAGAATTATGCACAATGACATGTCACCAGCCAACTCCCTAGGGACACCACTGACATGGGTGGGGGGTGGGGGGTGGGGCAGGGGATATAATCCGAATTTTCACAACTCTGCAAAGTCATTACAGTTTTGATATGGTCCCAAAACAGCACGCTTGCAGAGGCATTTACCTTAGTTTTACCAAAATCACTGCCTGTACCTGGGTTTCATAATTCAAAGTGTCAACGTCTGTGCTATAGCATATATCAAGGTATGGAGGACATGAATTAAACATCTTACTGATTTCACTAGCATCATGAACAGAAAACATTTGAAAACAAATCGCAAATACAGAAATGTAAACGAAGGGTCGACCTTATTTGAGGACGAACCAATCTTTTACCACTTTACCTCGCCACGGTAAGTCAAATCACTGGTTCGGGTGCTCGTGACAAGGCTGTAGCTATATACATGTACTCAGAAGACAAAAAGAAAGAAAATTCAAATATTCTTATTTGGGTTAACGTGAACAACCTAGGAAGAGATCTTGAATTTTTCTTTTTCAAATAATGCGCTGACAAATGGTGTAAGGAAAAGTAAGGGAAGTAATCGTGTGAATCTGTCAATGATCAGCGGAAATAAAATGCGTATTTTATATATTTTTTCTAATACTTATTCAAAACAAGATTTTATTGTGATTATATCTTTTTATGATGACATAATCATTTTATGGAAAAAAAACGTGTTCAACTATTCTAAAAATTACAAATAGAACTTGCTATCTAGGACAATTTAAGATATTTTGTAACAACATCAATTAATCAACCAGACTGCTGATACTTTCCTTAACAGTAATAGCCAATTTATTATTGACCTTGGCAGAATTTTACACTTTTCTACACTGAAAATAAACATTTTCAATGTGTTATGAATTCGATACATTATGTACTTTTTATTTTAAACAACGTAACTTATCAAACAGAATAACGATAAATCAAAATAACAAAAATCAACCCTTGACCTTTCATGAAAGCACCGTATTATCAGCATTAAACCATTCACGTCTAAAAGCAAATAAATTCTTTAATATAACTGTTTGTTCAAAATTAAGCAGAAATCTTAGAACAAACAATCGATAGCGAAAATCTTTGACCAAGTTTTTCAAATTGTGAGATATAATCTACGTGTGTTTACATTTATCCTCATTATCAGTATCACATGAATTGACATTTTCTGAATTAGATTCCTGTTATAGCCGTGTATGACATTTTTATTGCAATATCAATTTCTAATAGGTTTATCTAGTAGATCGATACTGATATGAGCCGAGTGTTCAATGCACACTGTTCGACTGATTGATTGATTGCAGACGATTGATGTGAGCTTCTATACACGCTTTAATGATTTGTGCTGATGAATGCATGTCTACGATCCGAGTGAGCACAATGTGCAAAATAGAATAATATACTATTACTTCACATTGATAAGTAATGGATCTTGTCAATTCAAAGAGACTGACTTCCCCTTCTTCCCAGGTGTGTATTTCACTTAACCATTCTTTCCTTGATAATTGTCGACGTAATGGGGGCTAGTAATACTACAGAAAATTAAGCAAGTGTACCCATTGGTGTTCTAAGAGCCCGCTCGTTTCTTAATAGAGCAAAGAGAAATGAAGTATTTCTTCTGTAACGGTACGCTTTAAAGTCGTCACATGACCGAAAACAAGGTGTCAAACATTCACAGATTGTTCATCTTTGTGTATCCACAAAATAAAGCGAAAAATGACAACAGCATGTGATAAAAATGAATTAACTAATACTCATGTACGATAGTAACAATCAGAAAAGGCTTGCTATATGATCATCAAACCTTTTTTTCCCAGATTTTTTCCCAGAACGTTCTCTTAATTCATTCTAACATTTCAATAAAATTAAAAAAGATTCTAGAGGAACCTTTTTGCGATATTGACAAATATAGCTGAATTGTAATACCGTTTTATGTTGTTTTCAGTAATATAATTTACACACATAATTGATAACATCAACTGAAGTTTTACATTAGGTCAATCAAGTCAATATATCATATGTATCGGCACACTGAAAGTTCGAGAAATTCTTGCTAATTAAGCACAGAACTACGATCGAAGACCACCAATCTCAGTTACAATCTCGAACATGCATAATGAAATACCAAGGGAGCTAGAATCTACAAGAAATGAGAAATTCTGATTATAATCTGAACACCATAGAAGATAGCCGTGTTAATTATCAAGCCTATTGCCTGATGAATTTATATAATAGATTTCTCCAGCTATAAAACTGGGAACAATCGTTGTAAAGTTTAAAGGCTTTCATTAACAAAATACAAGGAAAAACTAAGCTAGACACACCAACAGTATATAGTACAGCTCATACAGGTCAGACTGCCTTGTCACACTGTCTGGTCATGGCTCATTATTTTCGATTTAAGCAGACTAGACAGGAATTAAGTTATGTTGTCCCAGTTACTTTTATATGCCATTTGCATATTAAGTTAATAAAAAATACTCATTTTTTAAACACATGTATATTGAGCTTAGATCATCGATGCTTTACCTGTCCTAGCTTGAGAATAACGTAGACAACCAGAGCCATTGCTACAGCTTGGATGACACTCAACAGGCTCACAATCATAGCATTATATTATAGAACAAAAAAATCCTCCGACAAGACGACAGCAGAACTACCCCCTACACAATGCAAAACTGTCCTTCGCACTTTTCAATATATTGCTTTTATAACATGATTTTCTGTGTGCCTATTGTATCTTGACATAGAACACAGCGTTCTTTTGTGTTAACATAATCCATTGTTATTTTTAT